GTATTATACAGTCAATTTACCACCTTCGCGTGGAAAACTACAGTTCCTTATTCTACACCTTCACGTGTAGACAGACATCTCACCACCTTCGCGTGGGATAGCAGAAGAAAGTCTCTGTCATACTCCTCTTTCACCTCGCTGCTGGCGCATCGGTGAGGCCCTCTGGTGGTTGTGTCGCACTTACGGATACTACAGTTCGTCCGTCCTGACACTTTTTCGTCCTCGAAAACACGGATCAGCAACACTGGAACATCAAGACAGCACCTGAAAATAAATTTAAAAAAAAAAAAAAAAAGGAAAAAAAACAAAAAGAAAGAAGTGTGGAAGAACCACACATAGTTCTATATAGTAGAAGTCCACGGCTTCATGAGATCAGCTGCTGTAGTGGTACATCCAGGACCTTCATGGTGTCCCACTTTTTCCACCTGGTAACGATCTTTGCCTTTCCTCGCTGTTACACGATATGGACCGAAGAACTTTGGCCTTAACTTTAGACCACCTCCATACTGCGTTCTTTGTATGGCAACTAAGTCGTTCACATTGTATACTTGTGCCTCTTTTTCTTTCTTGTTGTATGTTTTTCTATTCTCTTCCTGAATTTTTAGAATGTTTTTCCTTGCTTCCTCTCTCATATCTTCTCGATCTTTCATCATAATATTTCTTTCTTCTTCTTCAAGAATTTCCATAATCTTTAAGTCCTCTCGATTTCTCATTTTAACACCAGTGAGAAGCTCAAATGGAGAACTCTTTGTGCTTCTGCTCTTAGTGCTGTTTAAGATCCTTTGTACATCTCCAACATATTTGTACCACTTGGTTGGATCATCTATGGATAATTTAGATAGGACTGGAATCAGAGTGAGATGAATTCTTTCCACTTGTCCATTTCCTCTAGGAACGCCTGTAGTTGTAAATATGTGCTGGATCTTCTCTTGACTACAGTAATCTTCAAAGTCTTTAGAGGTAAACGCCGTACCTTTATCACTTATAATTCTCAAAGGATTACCGAAAGTTGATTGTTGCAGTTTCAGCTTCTGCAATGCCTCTTGAGCTGATGTAGACTTTACTGGATAGAGCCACACGAACTTTGTGAATGCATCAACCACGGTTAAGATGTGATTGTAGTTCTTATTTGTCGAACGGTAATGGTCCTATAAAATCGATATGAAAAGTGCTCAAAGGGATACTATCTTTTGGTATGGGATTCAGCAACCCTTCGCTCTTACCTCGTTTTCTGTCGCACAAAATACATTCTACACAATTTGAAATAACTTGTTCAATTCGTTTTCTAAGGTTAGGAATATAAAAGTCGGTTTTTACAGCAGATCTTCTGTTTTAGACACTGCGAAATGTCCCTTGTTGTGGATACTACGTATGATTTCTAGCTCTAATGCTTCGGGTACCACAAGTAACTCACGACCACTGTCGAACTTGTATAATACTCCATTTTTTCACTAGAAAATCTTTCTTTAGTCCTTGCTCGACTAAGGATTTTAGCAACTGGAGACGCTCATCACTTCTTTGCGCAGCTGCAATTTTGGCTGTAATTTCTCCCTGAGAACAAGTAACCATCATATGACCGCGTTTCTACTTAATGAATCCACATGCTTCATTTGTTGCCCAGATCTGTGAACAATTTCATAGTCAAATTCTTCTAGAAGTAACGCCCATCTCGCCACTTTAGGGGTTAGATCTTTCTTAAACATGGTCTTCTGGAAAGCATCGCAATCCGTAACTATCCTGACCTTAGATCCTAAAAGGTAATTCCTGAATTTCTTTAGAGCTTCTACTATAGCTAAAACTTCAAGCTCATAACTAGATAGCTTCTCTTGTTGGAGACTCGTTTTTTTTTACTCATGAAGTAAATGGGGTGTAACTGTCCATCATCTGACTTTTGTAGCAATACAGCGCCGAAACCATGACTGCTTGCGTCTGTATGCAATTCTAATGGTGCTCCTTGTTTAAAAATATGAAGAACCGGACTTGTGGATAAAAGTTCTTTCAATTTATTAAATGCATCTTTTTGCTCAGGCCCAAATTTGAATTCTGCTCCGTTACGAAGAAGATCACTTAAGTGGTTTCGCTATTTTTGAATAATTGGCAATAAATTTCCTAAAATACCCAGTAAGGCCCAAGAAACTTTGAATCTGCTTAAGGTTTTTGGGTTCCGGGAAATTTTGAACAGCCCTGGTTTTTTCAGTAGAGGGGCGAATTGTACCATCCTCAATAACATACCCGAGAAATTCTATTTTTCTTTTCAAAAATTGGCATTTCTTAAAATTAATCTCCAAACCATATTCTTTGGCTACTTCTAAAACGCGTTTCAACTTTTCTAAACCTTCTTTCTCGTTTCGTGCTGGAATAATAAAATCGTCCATGTAAGTAACAACAGTGTCATCCCGAATTAAATCTCTAAACACATTATAAATAAATCTTTGGAACACACTAGGGGACGTGCACAAACCAAAAGGTGCTTTTAGAAATTCGTACAAGCCTGCATGAGTAATAAATGCCAAATATTTAGTGCAGTTTTCCTCCAACTGGAACATGAAAAAAACCATTTTTTAAGTCTAATGTCGAAAAAACCTTTGCTTCACCCAAACGATCTAAAACCTCTTCTCATAGGAAAAGAATCCTTAAATATTTTTTTTTATTTAACTGCCTGAAGTCAGCACAAATCCGTGTCTTGGGACATTTGTTTTCTACACAAAACAATTTGCGAAGCATATTCTGAACACGACGGCTTTATAATCCCTTCATTTAATTTTTGAATGATTATTACTTTGAAAAATTAACACTTCCGTTTTCGAATTTGATGTTGATGATAATTAATTAAACAGTGTTGATGAAGTTTAATTGAATAAACTACAGGTATTTGACTTTGATGAAAATACATTACTGACTATTTACAGAATTGTGATATATTAAAAAAGCTACTTTGAAGAAGTACTTTCGTTTTCGAATTTGGTGCATAATTTCTTATTTCTTGTGATGCCTATATTTTACAAGGACTGTAGAATATTATTTTAAGTTATTAATTTTGATATTATATCTTAACGTGAAATTCTATTTTTCATTCTTAACATAGTCTTATATGAAGATTTGTTTGACGATATATTTTACCATTTGTTTGAATCATATGTTCACAATTTCATTTATGATTTTTGAGTGTTTTAACCTCATAGTTATTGCGTAATATACTAAGAAGAATTAATATTATTTTGAAGAATATGAAAAATTAAGAGTATATTTTGGTATACCAATTTCTGAAACCAGAAAATTAATATTTGATGAAATCGAAACATACATATTTTGTGAATTTCATATTTGGTAAAAACGAAAACTGATAAATAATGGCTACACTAAACGATTATCCCAACATTGCACAGTCATTAAAAACTGCCAGTACAAAGCATATCAAGCTTTTACATCGTTTAGTTTTTGGCTCAGATGGTGATCGGCAGAATCGTGCTAGGTTACGGAATTTTTCTGGTTTTCCCTAACTATTTAACTTTGAAGATACGAAACAAAAAATTATAAAAGAATTTTCTCTCACAGATTTAATTGCCATATGTAGCGTACTGCATTTAGAATTTTCCACCGATATTGAAAACTGTGCTAACAACATTCTTACGAATCTAGCTGATGTATCATTATTAAAATCAGATTCCGCTGACTACAGCGACCTTGAAGAAGACGCTTTGGCGTCGCCCAAACGAACATTAATCACGCTCCAGATGAATCGTTATGTAAACAAATGCAGGCAAAAATCTCTCTTGAAAGCGCGCCTGGAAATTTATTGCTTTCACAAACACAGACTGTTCCGTTTCAATGTTTTGGCTTAAAAGACATTGTTGATTTGATCAAACTCTCTTCCTCTCGGGATAATTACAGCGTTGAAAATTTTATTTCTGACATAGAAGATATTTTTAATCTCTATGAAATCACAAATCCTGTACACCAAGTAATTTTTGTTAAAAAATGTCTTACAGGTCCAGCTTTAACATCAATAAGATCAATTCGTGGGATTACTAATTGGGAGCAATTAAAACACCATTTATTAGATGAATTTTCGGAAAAAAATAATAGCCTTCAATTACATAAAATAATGGAATCTCGTCACACGAAACCATCTGAAACCTTACAAGAATATTTTTTAGCTATGAGAGAGCTCGCACACAAAGGTTCTATGGATGATTCTTCTTTGATTGAGTATGTGATTCATGGTATTCCTGATTCATCAAACAATAAAATAATTTTATATGGTTGTAAATCCATTCCTGAATTTAAAGAAAAACTGAAGATTTATGAAAAACTCTTTAACAATTCAAAACATTTGAAGCAAAATACTCCAAAGAAATTTACAAATTCCTTTCCTAATGTTAAAATTTATGCTAAACGTACATCAAATACACAGCCAGTTTGTTATTCTTGTGGTTTAAAAGGTCACAAAAGCAATACTTGTCCAAATAAATCTAACGGCAAATTCTGTTATGGATGCCAAAATTATGGTCACGTTCATTCCAACTGTCCCAAACGTTCTGGTAGTTCTACCACGGAATCTGCTCCTAATTGTTCTACATCTGATAGTATTGTAAATGCCTTTTCTGCTCAAAATTTTTCTGAAAATCTTATGCATGTTGATATCCAACTTAAAGGAACTCAGTTAACTGCTCTCTATGACACTGGATCACAAGCAACACTTATTACGGAGAAAACATACCGCAAAATTGGTTCTCCACCATTACATCCTTCCAGAATTACATTCTCAGGACTTGGACGAGACACAGTTCAAAATATTGGATTCTTTGAGGACTACATTCAAATTCAAAACACTATTTTACCTGCTAAAATCCATGTAGTAAAAAACTATATGATTCTTCTTGATGCCATTATTGGAATAGACTTTTTGCAACAAACTCGATTTACATTTGATAAAGATGGTATTCATTTATGCAGCAATAATAATGATCAAATTTTTATTAATGTTGCTAATGTTACTCATGATCACGCATTTCCACCTGATCTTTCACACATCTCAAAAATCGGAAATACTCGAAGAAGTTCAACATATCATTACACCTCACCAACCACACGAAGTTAACACTGCTATGGAAGATTTTCAGAAAATAACAGAAAGTGAAAATCAGTTGAAGGAAACAAGTAAGGAAAATGATGATGCTACACATTACGATTCAGAATTGGATTTAGATAATGACAATTTGCATTTGGATGATCACGATGACAAAGATGATGCTGATCATGGAGCTCATGACGATGATGTTGATGATGGTGATGACGTGGACGACGACATGGATCAAGATCATGATATTGATGATGACGACAATCATAACGCTAATGGTGCTGATGATGATGATGGCACTCATGAAGCTAATGAAGATGATGTTAATCATGTTGATCAAGATTACGTTGCTGTTGTTGATGAGGATCATGTCAATGAAGATGATGCTGATGACAACGAAGATGATGATGACAGTCATGAAGCTAATGATGATGATGGTGATGTCGATAATGATCCAAACGTGCAGAATACTGAAGAAACTGTGAAAAATCTACTGAATCCGTTTGAACAAGGATGTGCTGATCAAGCAAATGAGAAAACACCTGCTAAAGGTGCAGAAACTCCCAAAGAACAGACAAATAATCCAAGGAAACTACTTGTCTCTGGCATTCCAGTTGAAGCTTTTGAGGCAACAAAAGAATGCTGAAATACTTTGTATGAAATAATCCGTAAATTACAATTCCATACAAAATTACTTTATCTAATCATTACACCTCACGCCCAAGGAAACGCAAGAAGAAGAGCCTGGAAGTATAAACGAAGAAAATTTAAAACGAACTTCAAAGACAATGAAATTGCTGACACAGCATGATGATGAAAAAGCTGCATTATTTGCACATTGAAGCTCAACGGAACCTCCTCCGTTTACAGCAACGCACATATACGACAGTATAGGAAACGTCGCAAACCTCCCTGCAAATACAAACTTGGACACCAAATGCCAATCCAGCCTGAACTGAAACTTCCACTTGGACTGAATCTTCGACTTGAACTGAAACTTGGACTTCAACTTCGTCCCAAATTCTTCGGTCTTTATGAGACAGTTCATCTCTCTGATTATTACGAAGTACGAAAGATACGCCATGAAGACGCCATTATGATATCAACCTGTACTGATAAGATGAACTGGTTGCCGTTTGATACAAACAGGATTCTGTATAGCTTTTGCCAGTCTTACCACATAACCGATTAGTGCTTACTCGCACTTTCTGATGTATTATACAGTCAATTTACCACCTTCGCGTGGAAAACTACAGTTCCTTATTCTACACCTTCACGTGTAGACAGACATCTCACCACCTTCGCGTGGGATAGCAGAAGAAAGTCTCTGTCATACTCCTCTTTCACCTCGCTGCTGGCGCATCGGTGAGGCCCTCTGGTGGTTGTGTCGCACTTACAGATACTACATATATATATATATATATAAGTAAAAAATGTAATGTGTACACCACATGATTTTCTTGTACACAATACAATACTAAATTATACGCATTCTTTCCGGCATTTCATTTAAACTTATTTCCTCGAATTTCATTCGAGATTTACTTCTCATTCAATTAATGCAGTTCTAAATTCGAGATAAAATTATTAGATAAAATAAAAGAATAACTTACAAGATTTTCATAAAAAATAAAATGTTTCCTTTTAACACATAGACAATTATGAGTGAGTTTAAAATGATGTTTGAGGAATCAAATTTTGAGAAGCTAAAATCTGTATCCTATTAAAGAATGTATGTTTTATTTGCAGGGTTTGATTCGGCCATATTCCAAAGATTAGCCAAACTTCCATATGATATGGTTAATTAGTAAATCATTTTTCATTTTCTTTATATCAGCTTCAGCTCTCTACGGTAATAAGCCTTTCTTTAAAATGTATTAATTATCCAGACATTGATAATATAAGATTTAATTCTATATCGATTATATAAGATGTATAATTTATATTATTTTTGGGGTTTCTTGTGCCTAATTAAGTCAAATATATGGAACATATATTTTCTAATTATAGTTTAAAACCAGATAAAGACAAAATTAAGAGTATTCTAGGTATAAAACCACCAAAAATGTCAGGGCATTAGAAACTTTCCTAGGAATTATTACATATGTTTCTAGATTTACACCTAACGCATCAGAATTTTCACCATGCTTAAGGTATGTGCCTACTCTAAATTCGTCGTTTTGGTGAGAATTTTCGAATTTGTTTTATTTATTCATGTCATAAGCCGCACATTTAGGTTTCCAAAAATGCTTAAAATCCCTGGTCGCTATTCTTGACTTGAGTTTTAGTTTTCATATATTTCACATATATGGAAGGGATAATCAAAGAATATTTTATTTTAGCGTTATTGATTACATTGATATTTATGCTTTATATACATTTTAATGAGCGTTTCTGAGGTATACGTATTTGCTTTCGGTCCTGAATTACGAAATATGACCCAAAAAAAGCAACAAACTTTATTTCATTGACAGAAGAATAATTATGAATAAAAACTATTAATTAAAATAAAATCACTTATTTCTTCTAGATCAGTTGTATTGTAGTATATGCAAACATGCCACTCTTATTTTATTTTATTTTATATGTTAGTGGTGAAATACGCAGAAAATAAAAGAAGATGGGGTTCTTTCATTAGTAGTGCCTCCTGCATTCTCAATCTATAATAACATGTAACTATATCCGATTACAGCAATTAGCCTCTCAGACACTAGAATTCAGAAAAAATATATACTTTCCACACAGTTACAATCAATATAAAATAGCACAGCTCCAAAACGGTTTGTATTTATAGTTTTATAACAGTTACAATCATAACATTTTAGCGACTACATAATCGATCAATCATCCACTGTAGTATTATCGACTTTGGTGCCACAGTAAATTGTAGTAGGCAAAACAGTTTGTTCTTAATATTTTTATTTCCCTAGTGGGTGCCTTTGCCTATACTTCTGCAGATCTAATAAAAACTATTCTGATAACATACCATTACCGTAAATAAGATTCTAATGCTTTTTAGGGGGTACATATTGTGTTGATGAGCTTTCATAAGAAGGATAACTCTGTTCATCTGTGATGGTATTTAAATAATCAAACAATATATTAATTATGCAACAGAATCTGAAACATAAAGGATCTTCTTGCAGCTAGGTCTATCAAATCTCAGAACTTTACTATATTTTAATATCGTTTAAAAATTTTTCAAACTTTTTCATTTTATTTCTCCACATTTCTTTGCAATCTACAAATATGAACCGATGGATCGTAAAATACTTTGTGAGCATCAAAAATAAAATTACATATCTTGTTCAGAAATGACTTAATTATTAAAGGTTTTCATTGATATCTTAGTCAAGTATCGTAAGAAAAGTTTAGAAATAAGTTGATTCGACTCACACAGGACAGAAAAAGACTAAATGGATTATCATTTAACTATTTGATGAAATATTCAGCCTTAAATTCAAGTCAGTGTTCAAAAACCTCCATTCCAAAATAGGGTTTCGATAGTAATGGAAACCTGAATTAAACTTCCGGTTAATGTTTGGATTATGGAAACTTAGCGATTTTTTGGCGAAAATTTGGCGACCAAAACTGTTACAGCAACCTGCTAGTTTTTGTTTGGACGCCATTTTGTTTTCACGAAGTAAAGGCATTTTTTTTTTTTAACTCAACATTTTTTTGCAACAATCTGCTAGCCGAATTACGCTTATGCTAGAACTTTTATGGAACAAAAATGCTTAATCATGACGAAGATTAGGTGCGAAATTGGGAGAAAGTGCAGAATCGCAAACTGCTTGCCGCGTTTTAAGAATTGTACATACACGGTATCCATGTACACGTCGACCTATTTTCATTTAAAAAGCATCCCAGAATTGCACAAAAGTTGCATTGCGCAGACTCTTGACTTTATCCATGTACACTGCTAAAGTCCTAGCTAGTAACCTTTATCGCCTTACCAAAATATCGCCAAACTACATGTTACCATATTCCAAAGATTTTTCATTTTCTTTATATCAGCTTCAGCTCTCTACAGTAATAAGCCTTTCTTTAAAATGTATTAATTATCCATACATTGATAATATAAGATTTAATTCTATATCGATTATATAAGATGTATAATTTATATTATAGCATAGTCTATGCATTATGTACGCTGGCAGCGTAGTAACTAGGTTGTGCTTTTCGGGGCCTAATGTTCCTATATGCGTCAGCAAATACTCCGAAATGAAAAATTGGAACATATTTAATGTACGGAACAAGTAAACATGATTTCATCCAAAAGTAGAACACGTGTAAATACAAATCTGTTTACTCTATGTTTCTTATAATAAGACACATTTGCCCAAAACTTAATGACAAATAAAACTATTTTAAGCAATTTAACATTTTACTTTAAAACCATTTTAAACGTTCTAATCCATTAATGAATGGCAGTATATTTACATTCTTAACTAAGATTAAATTTACGTGCAGTTCAACACATAATTGTACGATATCGAATTTTATAGAGTTTTAAAAATTATGAGAAATTCATTTGGGATGTTCTTGGAATTAAATTTAAGGAATAATATTTTCTCTGCATTTATTGAAAAATGACATATGCTGAATGCGCTTTCTTCACACAAAAATTGATGTAAATTATTTAAACATGATTTTATAACCTTATGAGAAGAGAAAATCGAAGGAAATTACAAAGAGGAAATTAATGATCCTAACCTTTCCAAATAGCACAACTTCAAACACACACACACATACAAACATATAATATCTATAAGGGCAATAAACGCGTATTATATATATATATATATATATATATATATATATATACAATTTTTATATTACATATATATATATATATATATACAATTTTATTATTACATATATATATATATATATGTAATAATAAAATTCCATAGTCAAGTAGACACTTAAAATTGTAACTGTATGTCCTTTTCATTTTTAATGGCGACGGTCTCTTATTTGAAAGTACGTGGAATTAAATTCACAGCCCCGTAGTCAAGTTGTTTTTCTACACGTACAGTTATAGAATGTTCTGGAAATATTTAAAGCGAACTGGAATGGCTGACAAGCTGACGTCATTTCTTGGAAGCTCCGCTTTCCAGAGGCTATAAAAGGACTCGCAAAGAATATCGGTGTCTTTTCGTTAATGTAATGATGCAGTAAACTTAATACAAAAAGTTATTAGGTTATTAGTTGTTCTTTTTTATTTACTCCGGAGATCTTAATTTTTGTAACTGCTATTTTCTCCTGAAATATAATAGATGGATCCTGTTTTTTAAACTTATTGTCTGATAATTTAAGCTACGACTACATCTATGATTCTTCACCAATCTATTTATTCCGGACAAAAGCTGTTACAACACACACATATATATATGTATATATATATATCCCGTTTTACCTTCGATATCAGAAGAATTATGATGGAAAATGTGTATACAATCAATTATCCAATGAAAGACATCTCGTCACAACACAAACAGTTTAATATTACGACTCTATTTACAAGTATAATTAAGTGTTAGTTTTAGCTTTGACACCTCAAAGCAATACTCAGAACATAAATGGCATAAAATATTACTCATCAGTTTTTAAATACTCATGAAAAACATCTCAAAAAGTCATTTTTCTCATTACTTAAAAGTAAAAGTAAAACAAAAAACAAACTCGAAAGCGTAGATGTAAAAATTCAACTGTTGCCAATCGCGATTTACTAAATTATATCAAAATAAAGTTAATAATCAGGTAGAGGTTCAACTTCACATCCTCCCAACTAAGTTAATATTTTTATCTCAAAAATTTAACTTACAAAAGAAAATTGTGAATATTTTATAAGTTACAAAAAGAAAATTTATAAGTAGTTCATAAGTCCAGTCTCTTAGGTACTTTGATTGTACGACCTGCTCTAGTCTTTTGAATCTGAGGTTCAAGTCCACACACGTTATCAAAGGAAGAAATGGCACAGGTTTCACCTCCCACCTTCGCGGTTGAAAATTTCTCAATAATGGGATCATCGTTGGAAACTTCAAGTGGATACAATCTTTGAATTGGTCTTAGCAAGTGTCCATTAGCTGTTTTAAGCTTGACAAGTCTTGTAATTCCATCTTTTCCTGGAAGAATCTGAATTATTTTACCTAATGGCCAATTGATTCGCTTGGTGTTATCACTTCCTATCAATACAATATCACCAATATTCACTTTCACAGATTTTTTGTTTCCTGCTTTTTGAATAAGTGCTCCTAAATATTCAGACCTAAACCTGTTTCTCAAATCCTTTTGCAAGTTTTCTCTATATTTGACTCGCTTATTAAGACTTTTATGCCCAATGTCATCAAGATCTGGAACACCACTTATTTGATTATCTTGCAGAAATAGAGATGGAACTTAAAGGCATTAAAGTAGCATCACTTTCAGTTACATATGTCAATGGACGGGAATTAATTAATTACTGCTTCACAGTCACAGAGAGTCGTGTTCATTTCTTCAGAAGTTAGCGAAGCTCTTCCTAATACTCGTCTCAGCAATTTCTTAAGAATTCCTATCAATCTCTCCCACCAGCCTCCCCACCAGGAGGCAGTTGGTGGGTTGAACTTCCACTGAATTGGTGGTATAGATGTGTCTTCAGTGATTTGCTTCCAGTTTAAGTCTTGAAGTACATTTGAAGCACCAACAAAATTGGTTCCGTTGTCACAGTATATGATTCTGCTCCGTCCTCTACGAGCTATAAATCTTCTAAGAGCTAGTAGAAAACTCTCAGTAGACATCGATTCAACCAACTCTAAATGGACTGCCCTATAAATGGCGCAGGTGAATAAACAAATCCAAGATTTCTTGTTGCCTTTCAGGATTACTGGTCCCGCAAGATCAACTCCACAGATTTCAAATACAGCTGCTTCTCGTAATCTATCTTCTGGAGGAGCCCCAGTACAAGTTTCTAGGTTCTTTGCAGAAAATCTTCTACACACGGTGCATTGATTGATGATAGATCTCACAGTTTTACGAGCATTCAGAATCCAAAATCTCTCTCGTAGAATATTTATTAAAATTTGAGTACCAGCATGTGCATTTTTCTCATGATAGTATCGCACTAGTCTCTTGACAACCTCATGATTGGATGGAAGAATAGCTGGCGTTTTAAAGTCTTCTGTATCCTCACGAAAGGTAAGTTTAGTTTTTAGTCTGAGGATTCCACTTTGATCCTTGAATACTCCTAAAGTTCTTAATTTCTCATCCTTTTCATTCACAAAACAATCTTCTTGAACCATTTTGATCAATAACTTCTCAGCCTCAAAAATTTCATCAGAATCAAGGTTTCCATGCTTTCTCACTGTTTTTTCAGTTCGACAATTGGAGGTGAATCTTAGGATCCAGGCAATTAGATTAACTATCCTTTTGTATTGGGAAAAATATCTGTAATACCAGTCTCTCTTGGTAACCAAGCATGCAGAAACTAAACATTTTGTTACAGAAGAAACTATGCTCTTTTTCTTTTCTCTAACAATCTCAGTCTCATCTAAATTTAAGTCACCTTTAGGCCAATCTTCTTCAGGCAAGTAAAGCCAACTTGGACCTAACCACCACTGAGATTTCAATAAGGAGAGAGCTGAACAACCTCTACTCGGAAGATCAGCTGGATTCATGCAACCAGGAATATGTCTCCAAGAATCTTTATTTGTTAGTCTTCTTATTTCCTTCACCCTATTCTGGACAAATACACTCCAGGCTTCTTCTCTCGTTATCCAGGCTAAAACAGTAGAAGAATCAGTCCAGAAGTAAACTTCTTCACTCTGTATCTCAGACAAAATTGAGGACGAAAGGCGAGACGCTATAGTAGCTGCAAGTAATTCCAATCTCGCGATAGTAGTTTCTTCTTTTCCAGTTGGGTGTAACTCTACTCCTGGCTTGTATCAGTTGTACTTTAGTAGAATCAAAAGTTTTTATACGAATGAAAGCAGCCACGGCATAAGCATGCTTACTGGCATCACAGAAAATATGTACTGAAGTATTTTTCACTCGTACTCCTTGAACCAAAATATCTTGGAAAATGGATCTTTTCCAGATAGTCAATATCTTTCAACCATTTTAAAAATGTAGTTCTCGTACAGGTATCAACTTCTTCATCCCATGTTATCTTCTGCTTCCAAGTTTCTTGAAGCAATAACTTAGGGATAAGGATAACAGGACAACATATACCAAGAGGATCAAACAATCTATGAGCTGTAGATAAGATTAAGCGCTTAGTCACTTTTTTCAAAACATAAGTCTTTTATACTACCAGTATTTATTCTTAGAGTGTCAGATTTTTTATTCCATATTAAACCGAGCACATTTGTATCAGCAGAAGCATCAGCATTAATATCATTGAACTCCCACCCTCTAAGCTCAAATTTTCTCTCAGCCATTACCTCAGTTGATACACTAATGAAATGATTGAGTTCTTCTTCATTTTTAACACAACTGACACAATTGTCAACATAAAAACTATGCATACTAGTTTTTGAATACATCTATACAAACTAGTTTTTGAATGACACCTTTCGTATATAAGGATTCACCGGTTTCTATTTTCTCTAAAACAGTTTGTAGGTGAAGCTGAATAGTAGAGTTTAGAAGAAAGGGCTACTTGCTACACCAAAAACTACACGGCAGTGCCTGTACACTTTCAGTTGACCATCACTATCAAGCCATAAGAACCGCAAAAAGTCTGTATCAGTAGGTGAAACACTTATTTGACGAAAGGCTCTTCGTATATCAGCAATAACACCAATCTCTTCTTTTCGAAAGCGTGTTAAAATACTCGGAAGCTGTTCTATTAGATTTGGGCCTTTTTCTAAGCAGTCATTAGAGACTAGGAAATCCCTTTACTTTGGCCGAAGCATCAAATACCGGTCGGAGTTTTGTAGTGCTATTCTTTTTGATAACTTCTTGATGAGGAAGGTAAAGAACTTGCCCTTGATAATTTTTATCAACCTCTTCAATTACTCCCTCTTCTAGCCATTCCTTGAAAACATCTCCATAAGCTTCATAATTGGACTCGATTTTAAGACGTTTAACAGTTTTGTTCAGTCTTCTCTCGGCTAAGTCAAAATAGTCTGTTAGTGGTGGATGATATTCCAAACAGGGCAAATCAACCTCGAAACGATCATCGACTATACGAACTGTATTTAGAAAATGTAACCGAGCAGCTTCTTGCAGTTCAGTCTGGGTTTTCTTGACTGATGGGTCAGTGATCCCAAGTGTGTCCAAAGTCCATATATCTGTTATGGTCTCCACAGTAGATAACAAGGATGTAACTAAGAACGATGATGAAAACTGACTTTTCGAAGTATTCGGCATTCATCCCATAACTGACCATCCAAATTTGGTCTCAATAGCTACGAGACCACAAGGCAAGTCACGACGACCACCTGTTATGAGTTTTCCAGCTACATCAGCCCCAATAAGAATCTCAATAGGATTTTGACAATCATCCACAATATTTATATTACAGGCTGCTAACTCTTTCAGACAAAGCTTGTTGACAGTAGGTGACACTGACTGACAAATAATTTGTTGACTAAGAACTTTAAAGTTGCAATTATAATTCCCATGCACACTCCATAAATATAAAGTGTATACATCATGCTTGTATATCCATGAGTCCTTACCTCCAAATAAAGAGTGTTGTAAATATTCACAACTCTGAGGTTCATAGTTCATTTCTTTAGCTGTACTTCTTAATAAATATGATCGCTGTGAAGCAGTGTCGATAATAGCTCTTGCGACACGTTTTTTCCCATCACTTCTAATTATAACTTTGAATGTTTGAAGCATTACGGCCGGAGTAGAAGATAAATTGGAAAGAGCTTGATCCACTTCAGCACTAATCTCAGTTTTCTTTTCAACTTCAGGTGATTCTTCGTTTTTTGACATAGTTATTTGGTGCATCTTTCTACACAGAAGAATATGGTGTTTTTTACCACAACACAAGCAACCAGCTTTTAAGTTACATTCCTTGACTGAATGTCCAGATTTCAAACATAAAAAACACTTGTGAGATTGTTGAACCAGTGACTCCCTCTGCCTTAAGGGGGGTAAAGACCTTTGAACCTTCAAAAAATCGAAATTTAAAAAAAAAAAATATATATATATATATATATATATTGAATATTCATAGAATTCTGAATACCGCATCAAAATATCATCATTATAATCAAAATATCATGCAAAAAACCGCATCAAAATATCATCATTAGTTTTCGAGTTATGAACTTTTACATAAAGCTCACTCTAGAAAATAACCATTTAAAGAGACGCCAGTGTTTGTTTACGCTTGTAGCTGTTACTTCCGCGTTTGTCCCACTCACGTGTTTTATGACTTTAGACTGGGAATTTTTATCTTTATTTCTTTTCCCATGGTTTATTTAATGCATGGTCGTACAGTAGGAATGCTACCACTCAACTTATTTCATTTCACATTTGTTTCTATCTAGAAAGCGTGGCGAAAGATTTGTTTGATTTTCAGTGAGTGAATAACTGAAGATTTTTACCTAATTTTCGATATTTTGCTTGAAAACAAATTAAACTATACGTTTTATTAAGCATGGGAAAAGATTATTATCGATCTGTTGGTTATCGATCCAGAAAAATACGATTTCATGGCAAAAAGTCTGGCAATTTGAATGCAAAAGAGAACGTATCTGCATCTGAGAAAAAAATAAAATTGGAAACTTCACAGAGCAAGTATGAAATTGATTCTTTCTGGAAAATAATTTTCAAGGTTACAGAATTATAGATATTTGTTTAATGCTTCAAGAACTTAAAAATTATCTTTGTTGCAAAATTTGTCACTCAGAAATTGAAATAATAGAAAGTAAAGTAACTGAGTTATCATCAACTATGTCCATTAATTGTACAAAATGCTCGCAAATTAACGAATTTCAGACATCACGTATGATTGGTGTGAAGCAGAATCAGTGTACAGTAAATTTAAGAATTGTGTAAGCTATGAGATGCATAGGTCAAGGCCCAGCAAGTTTGGAAAGATTTTGCAGCATTATGGATTTCCCTACTCCATTATCTCAAAAATCTTATGACAAAGCTGTGAAGAAGATTGGACAAGCAACAGCTACAGTTTCTAAAATTTCAATGAAGGAAGCTGCATTGAAAGAAATATCACTATCTGATAATTCTGAAAATATTACTGTTTCGGGTGATGGTACCTGGAAAACAAGAGGCTTCAGCTCCAAAATTGGCGTATGTACTCTAATCGGATCAGTGAGTGGGAAAGTTATTGATGTTGAAGTGCTAACTTCTTTTTGTAAAGGTTGCGAAAGAAATGTAGCTTCTCATGACTGCGTAAAAAAACCATGAAGGCTCGGCTGGAAAAATGGAAAGTCATTGGAATGCTACGCATGTTTCAGCGTTCAATAGAGGAGAGAAATGTTATGTTACTCTCAAATATCTTGGCGATGGAGGACTCAAAAACATTTTTGGAAATCAGCAAAGACAAGCCATATGGTCAAGAAGTTGACTGTAGAAAAACTGGAATGCATTTGCCATATTCAAAAAAGGATGGGCACCAGACTCAGAAAGTTAAAAGCTGATATGAGGACAAAAAAAATGTGCTGATGGTAAACCACTTTCAGGTAAAGGACGTTTAACAGACAAGCTAATTGACCAACTGACTAATTATTATGGCAATGCGATACGAGAAAATAGTGGATCTTTACAAAACATGCGCGAAAAGCAGTGTGGGCAGTATGGTGTCACACAAGATCCACTGATGACGAGCCCATGCACTTTTTCTGTCCTGAAGGAGATAAGTCATGGTGCAAGTTCCAAAAGCACGAAGCTTTAGAAGATTCCAATAAAGGAATTTTTCATCATAAGAAGACCGTACCTTCAGCTGTAATGAACTGTATAAAAAAGGTTTTTACAGATTTATCTGAACCAAAGCTTTTAAAGCGATGTTTAAAAGGAAAAACGCAGAATCCAAATGAATCCTTAAATTCTATGATTTGGAAATTTTGCCCGAAAACTTCTGGGTGTGGTGGAAAAGTTGCCAAAATTCCTGTTGATGAAGCTGTGGTAGCTTTTAATGAAGGTAATAAGGGTCGCCTAGATGTAATCAGAGAAACGGATGTCACCCTAGGTCATAATGCAACTACAGGTGCATTTGTTGCTGATAAACGAAGGATTCTCGCAGCTGAAAAGAAACCTATTTAATGACAAAAGAGGCCTAGGAGAGCTAAGCGAATGTCCCGAAAAATATAATTATTATCTGAAAAAGAAGGAAATATTTATGAAGCAGGTGGACACTAGCAAGGGGAAAAAAATATCATTGTAAAAAAATTTAAAGTGTAACTTTAAAGTCATTTTTCTCAAAACTGTGTTTTTGACACTTCCAAAATTAAAAAAAATATTATTGATGGAATTTTCGGAAATTGCACATATATGTTAAAAATACCTATATGCATACAAGGAATTAACATGAAACAAATTTTTAATTTTTTTGTTTTGTTTTGATCTATATTAGTAAAAAAATAAGTAAGTAAATTAAAAATCAATATTTTCTCAATTTTAAAAATATTAATTATGAATATAATTGTAATAACTTAATTCATTCTATAGCCAATACATTTAACTTTATTTTGAGTCAAGAATCGAAATTGTAACTACTTTTATTTAAAGATATCTTACGGACAGTAATACGCTATTATGTTTCATTTTCGATATACAATCAATATTTAAAATTTAATTTAAAAAAAGTTCTCAAGTTAAACTTCCCATTTAACTTGTTTTTTATCTGCATGTTTTTATTTATATATAGCATAAATTATATAACTGTGTGGTTAATATCCTGTATATGAGGCCATTTCAAACATTGGTCAAAAAATTGGAGAAAAGTGAGCTTGAAAGGTCTTTTGCCTTAAAGGTATTTTTCTTACAGACAGTCTCCAGAAAAATGTGAATTAGAACAGAATATACACTGTTTTGATACTTGAGATGAAGTTAGAAGGTCTGTTGCACTAGGTATATTTGAAAACTTTCTACTCTTACATTTGTTCTCTATTACCTTTTTCTCATAGGAAAGATTATGTTTTACTTCTGCTTTTGGTTTCAATGTGTTGAAACTTTGAGAGGCTAAAAAAATGCGTTCTTCAGCTTCGACTTCGGCTTGTAAAAATTCTAAAATTCATTCTAAATCACTTTTCTCAATTATAGTTTTACTTTTGTCTGAATCATCTAAATTCACTTTTCGAATTCTACGATAAGCAGATCTTTAGCGCTGCGAAGCAACAAGAGTTTCTTCGGGTAATAATGATTCAACTAGTGGAAACAGCATTGCAGCATATTTTTCCCTAGTAACACCTAATAATTCAAGTGATCGCAGTTTACTCTCAAGTTGATCGAACAATTTTCTTAATGAATTTTTAGAAGTGTTCTGTTTTTGAAGAACTAATACTTATAAGTCTCTGACATATACCTGAATCAATAGTTCCAATTTCGTACACTACCGTCAAAAGTAAGTAATTTTATTTTTGGGTAACGTAATAAAGTGTTCGGCTGCGAAACAATGTTCAAAGTTTCATTTTTAGAAGATAATTGTTCTCTCACTAGTGTTTCTAGCTTCTGTTTTAAAGATCTCCATCGATAAATATACATTTCTGACTCATCTACCGCTTTCTTTATTTCGGTATCGGAAGTATTTTCAGAATACAACAAATGTTTATATTTCTCTTTACATGCTATCATTAATAAAGCTTTCTCTTCAATTAGCTTTAATTTATTAATTTTATCAGCACGATTTAATTTGATTTCTTCCTCATCAAAAGCATTACATGCTCGAGTAAACAACCTTCTAAGTTGCTTTCTATCTTTCAAAACAATATCCATAATGCACAAAGAATAAAAGAAAATATAAAAATATTTTTTCACTCACTCTTAATAATGCAGCCGTTGTCCTGTCTTTGGACGCCAGATATCCCGTTTTACCTTCGATATCAAAAGAATTATGATGGAAAATGAGTATACAATCAATTATCCAATGAAAGACATCTCGTCACAACACAAACAGTTTAATATTACGATTCTATTTACAAGTCTAATTAAGTGTTAGTTTTAGCTTTGACACCTCAAAGCAATACTCAGAACATAAATGGCATAAAATATTACTCATCAGTTTGTAAATACACATGAAAAACATCTCAAAAAGTCATTTTTCTCATTACTTAAAACGAAAAGTAAAACTATAGAACAAACTCGAAAGCGTAGATGTAAAAACTCAACTGTTGCCAATCGCGATTTACTAAATTACATCAAAATAAAGATAATAATCAGGTAGAGGTTAAACT